ATAAGGACAAGAGCTGTTGTAAAGATAGGAACTAATGACGCTGCAGCAGATGCTATTCAAGGAGGCAGAGAGCTTTACAGTATCTGTTCCCTGTGTTCATTTAATTTCAACAAAAACAAATCTTCCACTCAGTTGTGAAGAAGGCTAAAGAATCTGATAGAGACTCAGACAGGGAAGGACAGAGGAAGAAAAATGAGTAACGGTGCTAATGTTGAGCTGCTGCAGAAGATTAGTGGAATTCTCTATTAAACAACTGCAGGCAACTTCCTCCCCACCCTGCAAAAAAAACCCGCCCCACTGACAAATGGAAAATCAAATGCCAGATATGCACAGTTGTATTTGTGCCACTACTAGTCCATCTGCAATATGTGCCACAGGCCAGTTGTTACATTTCAGTTATATACTGGAAGAATATATGACAAAGTCAACAGCATAGAAACATTTTGAGAGAGGTGGATGAGATTAGTTGGTGAGAGAGACTTGGTTTTGAGCTCTAGAAAGCTCTTCTTCAGAATCATTTTGTGGTTCTCACTGCTCAGTTTTTCTCTCTCCCTTTGTTGGGAGAGAGGCTACAGGGTCAAAACATCAGGTTTAAAACACCTAGGCATCCTGGAACCACAGGTTCAATTCCTCTCAAGGTTGATTCATCTTTCCAAAGTAGATAAGTTGACTAACGTGCAATTTATTGTGTTTGACCTTCAAAAGAGAGACTTTCTCTATCCCTGTGGATATGTATAGATCTCATGGCAGTAAGGGTCTGTCTGAATGTCCTTCGCTAAAATTTCCCAGTGCTCCAGTTTCATTATATTTTGTTTTTCTGTGTTGGTAGTTTTGTTTGCTTGCCCCGTATTCCAGCGTCATGCTATATGTTTATGGATTGTAAAGCACTTTGTGATGAAAGGCAATTTATAAATGTACAACCGGAGCCGTCCCTTGGGTATGTAGGATGACTGTGGCTGGCAGCACAGTGTTTTGTTTTTGTTTTTGTTTTTTTGCTCCAGGTCAGGACTCGGCTCTGCCGGTGGGCACCCCCATGTGTCCCGATATTTTCTTCCCTTCATCTGGTCACCCTATGGTTACGGTGAATCAGGGCAACAGCTCCGGGCCCTGTGCTTTGGGGGGCCTGGCGGGCTGGTGCAATTGGCTAGCGTGGTCGGTCCCGTAAGTGATGTGTCAGTCCTGGAAGTGACGGATTCGTCACTTCTACCCTGGGCCCTACACCGCCCTAGGGATGGCCCTGTGTACAACAGTACATTTTTCTGCTCCCTGTGTGTCTGAATGCTGCTGTTACTTTCAGAACACTCCCATGGGGCAAAGGAGAAGGGAATATACAGGAGGGATAAAAGATGAAGAATGAGAATCACGAGAGTTTTAGTTAAGCAATAGACTTATTACACTCAAGAAAAAACAAACAATGGAAACAATATTAAAAGTAGTTTACAAAATGAGTATGTGGTCCCATGTCATAGATCTTGCTTTGCAGGATACTCAGATTGGAGCAAATAACAGAACCACAAGTCCTTCCTGCTAGTTAATGTAATTAGAAATGGTAACATAATAAAGTCATAGGGAATATTTTTATTTTTAATAGAACAAGTTGTCCTTGGAACTTACTTCCAGGAATTTGTTTGATACGGTCTCTGATATTGGCGTTTCCTTATTCACAGTTTTAATGGCCATATGAACCTAGTTTCTGATACATTAATCTGCTGTATTGTAAGGGGAGAAATATAATGACCTTGAGGTCTAGGATGAATGAGGTCTAGGTTCCATTTAAGGCAGTGGAAGCTTTGCTATTGCCTTCAATGGGACCAGCATTTTACCCCTAAATTCTAGCCGTAACTCCTTCAACGACTTGAAACAAAAACATCTTCTTAAACATCTTCCTCCTTGACGTTTGAATCCTTCAATTCCTGGAGGATTGCTCTTTCATTCGTTCCTCTAAGTCATTGCTTAGTTTTAGTGTCAGAGACACTTCATTGTCCTTGGCCTTTTTTCCCTTTTTCAATTCTTCAATCAATATCATTTCTGTAATACTGTGTCCTAAATTTTGCCCAGTACTCCAAGATTTGGTCTCTGTAGCCCTTTCTACAGTGGTATAATGTTCTCTTATTAAATGATTTCTATGGCAACATCCTAGTGTTCTGTTTGCTTTCATAGCAACTGCTAGACATTAAGTTCTATTCATTTCTTACCCCAGATCGGTTTCCTGGTTTTCTGTCCTGTAATTTATGACTATTTAGAGCTTTAGTACTCATTACATTGCCCAGTGACCCCTGGCAACCCCCTCCCCCCACTACTTTCTGGCTTGGTGGGTGTTGCAGCAACTCACAGTGTGTTACACTTCACATGACAAGGTGAATGACAGGTCTCCAGCCCAATCAAAAAGCCTAGTCCTGTTTCCAGCATATGACACTACATATCAAGATAGCACTGGAGTGGCCATGCTGTGTAATGTCATGCAGTAAAAGCTGTTTCACAAAAGGAAAAAAGTAAAGCCTGAAGCAGCCCAATCACGAGGGAAGAACAAATACAGATGAAGTAGCATGTTTATTGCCACAAAATTAACCGCTGAATAGAGCTAAAGAGAGATGAGATCTATATTGCATCTAGGTGTTGTTAATGAGAGTGAAAAGTGATTGTCTGTTTTTGATAACAAGGGTTTTGGAACTCATTTCCTCTGTCTACAAAATTTACCAAAATTAAACTGGTGGGAAACCAGAGAACTTCAGTGAAGCTGTCCCCCTATGGCATTTTGGGATCCTGGTCCTCTTTAAGAAGAGAAGTTGCCCTGTCAACTCTATCTGGAAAATATGCAATGTAGGGGGCACACAGTGATTCTAGTCCCTGTCAGCCATAGAAAAGCCTTGCTATTATCTTGGATCCCATATTCATATTAATTGTATTGATGCTCAGTAAGTCCAGGCATCTGAGGTGTTCAGATAACATGGTGATGGGTATGATTGAACTGCATAAATAGATACAGTACAACTTGGTGAGAGTATGTTAAGCAAAATATACTGAATCTCTTTGTTTGGAATAGCTCTGTATTTTTTTCTTTTGGTATGAATTCTGTGGGAATACCCATTGTAAGTCACATGCATAAATGTTTGCAAGATCGGGCCCTTGCACTCCAGTATAAAAAAGGAACTAAAATGGAGTGGTAACTGTGCAGCTTTTCCCATCATGTTGATTTTGAATGTATATGAATTACATCACAACCCTGGGTTTAGCAGGCCAATGCTCAAACCACTGAGCTATCATGTTTTCTTTGTTTAATGCTTCTGTTAGCTCTTGGTAAAAAATAAATTAGAATGTGTTTCTGCTGAAAATATCACTGTATTTTCTTCTCCACTCCATCCTTTGACCAAAGTGAGGTTTTCATTTAAACTGTTCAAGAGGGGGAAAATGGGGAGAGGTGGGAAGGGAAAAGGGAGGCAGGTACATTTCTAGTTTCCTTTTTGATTGTTTAACTCACCCCCTCCCTTTCTCTTGTTTTCCCCCTATTCTTCCATTAATATTCATTGTGTACATTTGTCCAATTTTATTGAACGTAGAGGATTGACATTAATTTGCTCTTCTAGATTCTCACTTTATGATTATCTTGACATTGTTTTTAGACATGTCAAAGTCTATATATATATATATATATATATATATATATATATATATATATATATATATATATATATATAAT